CGCGCGCGCGCGCGCGGCGCGCGTATGTGTGTTTTTTTGTGTGTCTGACAGACAGAGAGAGAGAGAGTGAGAAACACACACACACACACCTCCCTGTGTCACACACACACACACACACACAAAAAGTATATATATATATATATATATATATATATATATATATATATATATAAACAAACATACACACACTCTCTCTTTTTTTTTTTTTTTTTTTTTCTTTTTCATATATATATATATATATATATATATATATATATATATATATATATATATATATATATATATATATATATTAGAATTAATAACCTACAACATGGCCCAGATTGAACATAATCAGGAAGCAAACTGATCAAAGGTGTTTAAGTTTTCCCTCTCCTAGATCTACGTGTATGTATATATAAAAACAAACATATTATTCCCATGTGGATTTATGAATCTGACTTATGCCGAGTTCAGGCTGCGTGATTTTAGCAACGATTTTGACTCGCTGACAGGTTTTGAAAATTGCAGACAAATGCATGAAATCACCAGCAAATCGGTGCTCATTAACGTGAGTAGCAATCACAAGTTTGAACTATCAAAGACCCGATCTGAGGGAATCGTAAATGAGTCGCCGACACCCGTCAGATGTTTAGCATGCTAAATATCTGGACCTGTCGGCCATTCAAAATCATGCCGTGTGAAAAGTGTTCTGATTGAAAATAACATCGGCGATCACCTACAGCTAATGAGAGAGCAGCAGCCACTAGTATTGTAAATTTGGCAGGAGCACCCATGTCTGTATGACGTATTTTCGAAGCAATATCACAACAAAGGTTGAAACAGAAACAAACAGGTGCAAACAGATAATGCCAAGCATAAAGGCGGCAAACAAAGCAAAGGGTCAAACACAGCAAGGCAAAGGAAACTGCCTCATAATGCTTACTAAACAGCAGGTTGAAGAAGAAAAAAGTTGAGGAGGAATCGGCAATTCCCTTTAAAGCCAGGTGAGCAAAATAAGTGCATTTTCTACCCCACTAAAGGCTTTTTTCTTTTTATGTAGTTAATAACAAAAGATGCAGTGCAAAATATTCATAGCGCTTCAGTTTTTCCACAGCCATGTCAACCTGCAGCCCAAGATCGGTTACTCACTGAAGCTAAGCAGGGCTGAGCCTGGTCAGTACCTGGATGGGAGACCACTAGGAAACACTAGGTTGCTGTTGGAAGTGGTGTTAGTGAGGCCAGCAGGGGGCGCTCAACCTGTGGTCTGTGTGAGTCCTAATGCCCCAGTAAAAGTGAAGGGGACACTATGCTGTCAGTGGGCGGCCGTCTTTCGGATGAGACGTTAAACCGAGGTCCTGACTCTCTGTGGTCATTAAAAATCCCATGGCACTTCTCGTGAAAGAGCAGGGGTGTAACCCCGGGGTCCTGGCTAAAGTCCCTCTATCGGTCTTATGATCATGGCCTCCCAATCATCCCCTTCCACCGAATTGGCTCTATCACTGTCTCTCCACTCCACCAATAGCTGGTGTGTGGTGAGCGCACTGGCGCCATTGTCCTGTGGCTGCCGTCGCATCATCCAAGTGGATGCTGCACACTGGTGGTGGTGTGGAGAGACCCCCCTCATGATTGTGAAGCGTTTTGGATGTACGGCCATATACAATAAATGCGCTATATAAATACACATTACATTACATTACATGTTTTTATGTTAGTCTTATTCCTAAATGGGTTAAATTAATTTATTTCCTTAAAATTCTACACACAATACCCTATGATGACAATGTGAAAAAAAAAAAAATAATAATAAAAAAAAGAAAAATCACATGTACAGAAGTATTCACAGCCTTTGGCGTGAAGCTCTAAATTGATCATTCTTGAGATGTTCAGCAGCTGCATTGGAGTTCACCTGTGGTAAATTCATTGGTCATGATTTGAAAAGGCTCACTTCTCACTTGTGTTGTGAAAGCTTTTGTGAACTGAGACAAAGCTGCCGATTTTTCCAATTGTAAAGTCATGCAGTGCGAAACCACCCGGTGCCGATGCATTCCACAGTGTAAACACGGCAGTGACGGAACGCTACCCCAGATAGTCATGCAGTGTGAAAACATCTGTGACATGACTATTTTAAAAAAAATTGTGCAGTCAGAACTCGGCATTACCTGCTTCATCAGTCTTTGAGTAAATGAAGGACAAAAACATGCGATCAGGGCCGGAGTGGGACTCTTTTTCAGCCCTGGAGTTTCATGCCTTAGACCGGCCCACCTCAGTTCACCATTGACTATATTAAAATAAGGTAATTTCCAATTCAGTTTCTAATTACACGATCACGTCTTTTTTTGAGAAAACAGCTGCTTTAGAACTTCAAATGTTCAACAACCCTTACAGTATTATATGTCTTAACAATAAAAATGAAAAAAAAAAAAACGTTTCTTAGGCGAGGACCGAACACAGGTTGGCGGCGTCATAACCTGACGCGCTAACCACTGTACCACAACAGCTGTACATTGAGAAGTGACTTATCTTCTTACATCTATCTTATCTACTTATATTATTCACGAGGCTACGAGAAAATAGTTAAAAAGAGCAGAGCTGCGGTAAAATAATGAATAAGAAGGCTGTGGTCAAGTAAATAAATATTTATTTTTAAAAAGTGTGACTGCTGAGAGCGACAGATTCTGGAGCTAGGGACACCGGCCCTCGTGGCCAAAAAACGGACCAGCCCACCGGGAATTCTCCCGGTCCTCCCGATTAGCCAATCCGGGCCTGCATGCGATCTAAGTGTTAAATAGAGGCAAGGCTTTTACAAAATGAAAAATACTCTTACCTTTCACACTGACACTATCTTTCAAATAACAATAGCAGTGTTGTTTTATCACCATGTAGTGTTAACACTGTTAATTTTACACCGACCCTGAAAATCTTCGCTTTGTAACAAAAATATGAATCCATATTTATTTCACTGACCTTATATTTCAGAAAAGAAACCACCTCTGTTTCTTTTTCTTCTCTTAAGATCACGGATGAGATAATAAAAATGGTTCAGGGTCCGTGTGATGTCATCGCCCTCTGCCTGAGCCTCATCGGTCTGATTGGTGTCGCCACTGTTACGGCTCTCCCGATGTGGAGAGTCACTGCATTCATAGGAGAAAACATCATCGTGATGGAGACCCGCTGGGAGGGTTTGTGGATGAACTGCTACAGGCAAGCCAACATCCGAATGCAGTGTAAAGTGTACGACTCCCTGCTGTATCTTCCTCCTGATCTGCAGGCGGCCCGCGGATTGACCTGCTGCTCTCTGGCGCTGTGTGGATTCGGGATAATAGTGTCCCTCTTCGGCCTCCGTTGCATGTCTTGTCTGAGTGATCAACCACGCAACAAAAGCATCATTTTAATGATCACTGGCATAATTGAAATCTTAGCAAGTTTTTGCATCGTCATCCCTGTCTCCTGGACGGCCCATACTATTATCAGAGACTTTTACAATCCGTTACTATTGGATGCCCAGCGGAGAGAACTGGGAGAGGCTCTGTATATCGGTTGGGTAACTAGCGCGTTTCTTTTGGCATCTGGAGTCATCTTTCTCTGTCGTCGTGTTGATTCGAACGAGCAGCCATTTTATGCTCGTCCACCACGTAATAAACAAGTTCTGAATCATTTCCAGGCCTTTAACTCTCTCCGTCGTCAGCCGTTGCTCCAGAATAATAGTTTTTCCACTCCTCAGCATTCATCAGCTGCATTCAGCTTTGCTGTCACGCCCTCTAGTGGTCAATATTCACAGCACAACGTGCAGCCGGTGGTCAATGGGTCTTTAGTATACAGTCCAAACATGATTCCACCTCAGAGAGTGAATTATCATGGGCAGAATGTAATGCAAAGTCAGATTTTAGCCAGTAACGCACAGTACCCCGTCAGTGATCCTCGGGATTCCTTTAACACCGGGTCTGCTTTTCATCCTGTGCAACAGAACCCACTCTATGTCGGGTATAATTACTCCCGGGTACAGTCTGGTAGCTCCAACAGTAGCACAGGACTGCGGATATAAGAGTTTCTCTGTGTTTTATCTTTTATTTTAAAATAAAGAGTGCTGAAAATTCCAGTAGTTTTGATTGTAGTATATTAAGTCCTTCAAGTCAGCGGTTCTTGACCTATTAGCTTTGAAAGCCCCTTAAGATAATGTTTATAAATGTTTTATGATAATTTGAAATCTTTTTTTTTTTTTTTTAGATTTGCTGCAGACTCTAGGGGTTGTAGTATTACAATAATTAATTTACGTTCATTTAACATAATAATGTAAAAGTTCAATTTAGATATAAGCTTAACTAAAAATATATGATCAGTGTGTATATATATATATATATATATATATATATATATATATATATATATATATATATATATTTTTTTTATTTATATATATATATATTTATTTTTTTTTTTTTTTTTTTTTTTATTTATATATATATATATATATAAATAAAAAAAACAAAAAAAAAAAAAAAAAAAAAAAAAAAAAAAAAAAAAAAAAAAATTTTTTTTTTTTTT